ATCCCTCACTGTGGGGATGCTGAACGCCATTTTCATTCTCTGGTGATGTCACCTGTAGGGCTGTCACCTATGGGGCTGTCACTTGTAGGACTGTCACCCGTAGGGATGTCACCTTTAGGACTGTCACCTGTAGAGTTGTCACCCACAGGGCTGACCCCTGTTGGGCTGTCACCCATAGGGCATCACCTTTAGGGCTGTCACCTTTAGGGCTGTCACCCATAGGGTTGTCATCTGTAGGATTGTCATCTAGGCTGTCACCCACAGGACTATCACCTGTAGAGGACTGTCACCTGTAGGATGTCACCTGTCCACTTCCCCTACCAGCCCAGTGTCCTCAGATCTTGGCTCAGATATTCTGGAATTTGTCCCAGTGACACCTCCAAACCAGTGCCCTGCTCACTGGTTCCTTCTGAATCCCACTCTCAGTTTTCAAATCCAGTTTAACTTTTTTTTCTACCCTATCCTTTAATACCTTACTAATTTTAACCATGTTGACAACTGGTCTTTGTCTGCTTGACTTTTTTTTATTGTCTTGGTTCCTCATTTCTAATTCCCATTCCTCTTTGTGACAGGCAGAGGCAGAAGGGACAGTCTGAGCTATAAATACTTGCAGAGAGACGTGCAATGTGGTATTTGTGGAAATCTCTTACTTCTAGTTAAAAAAAAAGTCACAGGCAAATACTTCTGTGAGACCATAAGTAATGATAAAACAGAAGTAAATTTAAAAATAGGCTCTTGTTAGGACTTTGTGCTGGCTGAGCCTTTTGATAACACTTCTTACAATAATTTCAACAATTCTAAGTGAATTGCAAACTAAAAAATACGAAGTTATTTCTGCTTGACTAGAAGAAGACCTAAAATTGATCTGTGCTCAGCAAGTATCCAACACCTACAGGGCTTTATCCTGATGTGTTTCTCCACTGGGGTGTTCCAGTCAGGGTTTACCTCATGGAATATCCAGTGCAGTCCTGTTCAATCCCTCCAAAACTCCTTAACTGCTTCTCCTGTCTCCCCTTCTTTCCCCCAGCTCTGCCCCTCCAGCCCCACAATTCCCACAGCACTGCCAAACACCTCTCAAACAGAATCACTGAAAGATTCCCTGACGTCCCTCTGGAAATGTTGTGTCATTTTCCTTCCAACCAATTCTGCTGACAGATCACAAACTATTGGTGTTCCTCACTGGGCAAAATACAGTGAACTTTTCCCAAACTCATCCCAATTTTTGGGACAGGTTCCTTGAGTCTGAGGATCTGGGCTCCCCAAATCACTGCAGAGAGCCCCAGCTGTACCTCGGCTCTCATTTCAGATGGACATTCCTTTCCAAGCTGGAAATCCACACGTCTGGGATTTCAGAGCTGTGCCCTTCACTGGGTTTCAATCCCCTCCCCCTGGGCCCTTCCTGAGGTCATTTGCATCTATGTAAATCCCATTTCCTAACGCATACAACCCAGGATTTTGCAACTTCACAGGACTTTTGTCATCAGTGGTTCCTGTTCTGACTCAAAAGGATCCATGTGGGGAAATCTGGGAGCACGGGGATCACCCTTCCATGGGTGGCTCTTTAGTACATAAAGGGAAAAAGGGAAAACTCTGAGGATGGAGCCTTCAGACAGAGACAAAGCTTTGCCCCAATCCTTCACCCTTTACCTGAACCCCAAAGCCACGTGCAGCTCTTACCTGCCAGGAAGACCAAGGTGAGGTGCAGGAGCTTCTCCATGGAGCTGAGCAGAGGAGGAACAGGAGAGGAGCCAGGAGAGGAGCAATGCTGGCTCTGCCCATGGGCAGCTCCTCTCCCCCTCCTGCCTGTGCACAGGAAGGAAGGAGCACAGAAACTTGGCATCTTTTCCAGCCTGCACATTGAGCAATTCTCCAGGCATGGGCATTGCTCTCGTGGCCTGAAAATTCAGGCATCAGCATTGCCCAGTGCCAGCCACAGCTCAGGCAAGCTGGGATGGAGCAGCACGTGGTGGCCTGAAGCCACAGCCTGGCTGGCTGCTCCCAGGACTTCATGGAATCATGGAATCATGATCATTGGGTTGGGGGGACCTTAAAGCTCATCCAGCCCCACCCCTGCCATGGGCAGGGACACCTTCCACCATCCCAGGCTGCTCCAAACCCTGCCCAGCCTGGCCTTGGGCACTGCCAGGGCTCCAGGGGCAGCCACAGCTGCTCTGTGCCAGGGCCTCCCCACCCTCACAGGGAAAAATTCCTTCCCAATATCCCTCTGGTAGTGGTGATGACTTGGGGTTTAGCTTTTGGATTTATTCAGGCTCTCTGCTGCTTGGTGTGTAACTCTGAAACTCCATTTCAGGTGTTAGGAAGGTGTTAGTTAGGTATTAGTAAGTTCTGTTCACAGAGGAGTTGGACAAAACAATCCCTCCCCAAATGGAGAATCAAGGACACCCAGCACCCAAAAATCATTAAAAAGTGCCCAAAGTGCTTTTATGATAAAGTACCCAAAAATCATAAATAACAGTGAGGGAAAGGGGGCAAGCCAGGGGCTGAGACTTCATAACCTGGAGCTGTAATTGGACAATTAACCCCAATATGTAAATGAACCAAAACTTATAAAAATGTAAAAACTCCTGACCGGGATCCATCTTCAACCTGGGTGCAGCCCTGGCCGGGCTCTTGCACTGCCCAAGGTGAATCCTTTTAATAAATTCCTATTTTATTCCTTTTGCTCTGCTCCAGGTCAGCCTTTCCACACATCCCCCTGTGCTGGCACTCCAAGCACGATGGTGCTAATAAATCCTGATAAATCATTTACAGGAGCTGTGCATGGGGGGAACTTCTGGAGAGCTGAAAGGGAGGCTCTCGTGGTGGCTCTGGCAGCACCTAAGGGTGAGGGAGGACAAGGACATCACCCCCTGGGTTTTCAGCAGAAAGAGGAGCCTGTGCATGGAGCAGCCTTGTCTGAAACCCAAGCACACACACAGCAGGGCAGGGACACTGCTCTGGGAGCTGTGGGTGCTTTAAACCAGCCCTGAACCCCATTCTGTTCTGTACTGGCACCAAGGACACAGGGGCTCTGCTGGGGACACAGGAGTGCAGCCACAGACCCCAGAACATCAGCAGACTGATGAGGCTGGGCTGCTGCTTTTTCATTTTTCAGGTGATTTATTTCCTTGGAGATCTTCCATGAAAGTACAAATAGACCCTGGTTTCTAAACTGGTGTGGTGCTAAACCTGCAGGCCTGGCCATTGCTAAATGTGCCTTTCCTCGAGTTAGTGGTTAAGAAAATGGGCCCTCAGTGACCAGGAATTCTCTGTCAGGTGACTGATTGCAGTTTTTGCTCCTTCTTGTTCCAGTGAGCACAAATCAGGATTCTCTTCAAGAATCTTCCCAAAAATGCCTCTCTTCCACTCCACTGTTTTTTGCTATTACTCTTCCACAGCTTGAGCCAGTGCACCTGCACGAAGAGCAAATTGTTGGGGGAATGTTGTGCTGAATGAACCATTTCCAGAACCATTTTCTTTTTCTTTTCTGTCAGGTCAACTCTGAAAATCTTAAAAATTTTCCATCAGCCTCCCTGCTGCAGCCCTGGCAAGAGAAGCCTGTTGGATGTGACTGGCCTGGCAATGAGGGCTGGTTCAGACCCCTCAGCTCTGTCACCTCCAGCAGGGCTTGGGGCAGGGAAATCAGGAGCCAGAGCTCCTGGAGAAATGGAGCTGAACCCCATGAACCCATTTCATGGACCCATGAACCCATTTCGTGTTGTTCCCCACACGACTGCAAAATAAAATGTGTCATTTGGAGCATTTCCAGCAGGGACAGGGAAGTGCAGGAGTTGGTTCTGCTTATTCTGAGAATCCAGCACTTGCATCCCCAGCCCATGCCATGAAAAACAAACCCAGCCACAGCAAGGTTCGAGTTCCAGCCCTGCAGCACTGGAATGAGTTTGTTTGGCCACAGCAGCTGAATTTTTGGGTTTTTTTTTGGATTGGGGCAGGGTTTGTACAGGGACACAGCTGGAATACCCTGGAATGAGTTTGCTTGGCCACAGCAGCTGAATTTTTGGGGATTTTTTTTTTTGGGATTGGAGCAGGGTTTGTACAGGGACACAGCTGGAATACCCTGGAATGAGTTTGCTTGGCCACAGCAGCTGAATTTTTGGGGATTTTTTTTTTGGGGGGATTGGGGCAGGGTTTGTACAGGGACACAGCTGGAATATCCCACCCAGCCATGTCCAGGCCTCCCCTTTTCACAAGGCCAGGCCTCCACACCTGCCCCTCCAAGACTCTGCACTTTAATGGAATTGGAAAAGCAGACGAACAGGAGATCCTGGGAATCCCCCAAAGCTCTGTGTGACCCGAGGCAATCTGCCACGAGCGTGGCAAAACCTCTGCTTGGCCCTGAAACAGGAGGGAGGGCTAAAAATGCTCAGGCAACCCCACACACAGGACAGCAAAACTCAGCTCCATCCATCCACACACATCCTTCTCCTCCTTCCCACTCTGTTTCCAGCTCTTTCCCCCGTTTCTGGCTCGTTTGGGACCCTGTCCTTCATTCCCTGCTGCTCCCTGGGGACTGTTTGAAGGCAATGACAGCATATTCCACACACTGGGGGTTCCTGTGAGCCTGGCTGGGCTCCACGTTGCAGTAAAGAGGATCCTCCGGGCTGGGGAGGGATTGCACATCCAGGTTGATGTGAGAACTTCCCCTCCTCCCGGTGCTGCCAGGCTGGGAAAAGAAAGGAAAAGTTCTCGTTAGCATGAGTCAGTGCCAGGCCACTGCTGCTGCCAGGAGAAGGAAGATTTTCCCAAAAAGAAAGGAGAAGCTGTGTCAAAATTTACCTTTGGTCATCACAGAGGTGAAAGAACAGAGAACTCTTTTTTTTTTCCCACCACCTCACCTGGATACAGGTGACAACCTCATGCTCTGACCCTGTTTGTTACTCATTGAGTCCCTTCTCCAAATTTGTTCCACGGGGTTTGTTCCTGCTGGAGTTTCCTCGCATTAATTATCCCCCTCTCTCCCTCCAGCCAGGAACATTCCTCTCTCTGCTGACATTAAACACCATTTCTCTCCTGGTTATGACCAAACTGAGCTCCAAGCTCCTCGCCAGGTGGGTCTGGCAGCTGCCCCCACACTGCTGCTCAGGGATTTGGCACCGTGGGGGAAATGTTTCATTTTCCTTACCTGTGCTGTGCCCTCTGGTCTGTCTCTGGTGCCCTCTGCTCCTCTGTTACCTTTGGAATGAGACAAAACCAGGGGGTTTAGATGAAGAGAAATCCATAGAAAGCTCTGAGGATGTTTGGGAAGGCTGTGGGATTGCCCAGTGATGGGATCTGCCTCTACCCTGGGTCTGGGGAACTCTTTACCCTCTTTACTCCTCTAAGGTGTTTGCACCTGCAGGCCTGGAGGAAGCTGGGTGTGATTTATTGTGAGGGGAGGCAGGGAGGAGCCTGCCTGGAGCCCAGCCTGAGCTTCTCATGGCACTGGCAGTGAGCTCACCTGGGGTGCAGGGAGCTCACCTGGGCTGCAGGGAGCTCACCTGGGCTGTAGTGAGCTCACCTGGGGTGCAGGGAGCTCACCTGGGTGCAATGAGCTCACCTGGGCTGCAGGGAGCTCACCTGGGTGCAATGAGCTCACCTGGGTGCAGGGAGCTCACCTGGGCTGCAGGGAGCTCACCTGGGTGCAATGAGCTCACCTGGGCGCAGGGAGCTCACCTGGGTGCAGGGAGCTCACATGGAGTGAAGTGAGCTCACCTGGGCTGCAGGGAGGGATACTCTGCCCTGCTGGGACAGCCCCAGCTCCACGTACCTGTCCTGAGCAGGAGCCTGTAGTGCCTGACACCCAGGGCTGTGACAGTGACGAGGGCCAGGAGGAGCAGCACGAGCAGCACCACGGAGAGGATGAAGAAGGTGCTCCCACTGCAGCTGGGGGAGAGGAAGGGAGTTACCAGTGTGGGATGGTTGAACAAAAGGGACAGGGACGGGTTTTATGTGCTCAGTCCAAGCACTTGGGAGGAGAGTCGGGTTCTCCTGCAAGATCTCCTGCAGGATCCTCCATCTATGACACTGGGCTGATCCACAAGGGAATAAGAGGCACTGGGGACCTTCCCTGGTTCCTGATTCTTGATTTTTCTACTTGGCTGTATGTTCTGAGCTTTTCCTAAACCATTCTCCAGGCTTTCTCCACTGTTCAAAGCTCCAAGCACAATTCCAGGCTCTCTGGAGCAGGGATGATTCTGCTCTCAGGTGCTGCTGTAGCATTGATGGCAGCAGATGCACAAAGGGGGAAAATTCTGTCCATTTAACTGGTAAATGGAATAACAGCAGCCAGGGACTGTCCCATTGTTAAATTCTCAGACAGGAGGGAGCAAAGTCGAGGCTGAGGGGCAGAATCTGGGGGTTCTGTTCACGTGAAGTGCAGAGCCCAGAGACAGAAGGATAAAGAGGCACCTGCAGAAGGCTGAGATGTGATTTTACCAATCTGCCTCTTCCTTTGGAATTAGGGCTGGGGCAGGAGTTGGAGGAGGGGAGAGCACCTTTGGTGAGGATCCTGTCATATCCAATTCCTCTACAGGAGCAGCCAGAGTGCCCAGGTACCTGCCCCAGGTGTACAACACGAATAACCTGTGTGTGCCCAGGCTCAGAGTCTCCTCTTAGGCCTTACCTGGATTCACCCAGAAGATTATCTTCACTTCTCCTTTTGGTGCCTGGAGACAGGGCTGCAATCAGAGACACGAGGAGAGGAATGGTCACTGTGGGGCTGCTCTGCATTCAGCAGTGACCCCTCTGCCACTGCTGCTCCCCTGCCCTGATCCTGTGAGCTCATCCACAGCGTCCCAGTGTCCCCTCCCTTCATCTGCACTGCTCGTTCTTAGCTCTGCAAGAGCCAGGCTGCAGCTCTGCCATGGCCAGGGGCCTCAGTGCCTTCCCCTACCATTAAAACATTGTCTGAAAGAGAGCCCAGAACTCACAGATCTGTAAAATTCGAGTCTAAAGTTGTTCCCTTGACAACCCAACGAAGGTCATTGAAAGCCAAAGGATGAATCACACAAAAGGGGCTATAAAGTCACTCTAAAGAACTGATATCAAACACTGGGTGACAGAAACCCCTCTCAGGGCAGCTGAGGCTGCTCCCAGGTTAAGGAGGAGCAGCACAGCACCGGTGTGGATCTGCTCCCAGCCCTGCTGCTCTTCCACAGGCCACGAGGGGATCCAGAGCCTTGGGGTGTGGGACACATCTTGAGAAAGTAAGAAAATTACAGCCTGAAAAATATTCCAGGCTGGAGCTTCTCAGCTCTGTTCCCGGCCCATGAGCTGGTCCAGCTCAAGGCCAGGGAGAATTTCTCCCAGGGTGAGAATTTGGTCAAAATATAAAGGAATTAATAACAAACAGAACCCCTGTTGTGGTGTGTGCCCAGGCCCTGGCCATGGGGTGTCTTCTCTCTGAACCAATCACCTTTTCTCTGCTCTGGGAGTTGCAGTCCTGCTATAAAACCAAGTGTGTTTCTGAATAAACTTGGCTCTTTCTTTTCTATTATAAAAGACGCCCATGGAGCTGTGCATCTTATTTCTGCCGCACTTAAAGGGTTAAAACCCCTTTCCAGGGCTGCAGAGGGGTTTGGGCAGGCAAACACAGCCCAGGTGGGGTAAGCTGGGCAGTGCAGAAGTGCAGGGCAAGGAGAGTGGAATGCACAAACGCTGAGAGATCCGTACCCACCCCTGGAAACGCTGAGCGTGATCTCCTCCATGCGGGACAGAGCCGAGAGCTCCTGCAGCGCACACCAGTACACGCCCGAGTCCTGCGGCTGCAGCTGCCCCATGGTGACAGTGACAATGCCCTGCTGGCTGTCATCCTGCAGCCTCACCCCTTCCCGAGCCGTGCTGTTTCCCTCTGGGGGCTCGGAGCTGCTGGTGACCAGCACGTTGCACGTTTCCCCCTCCATTTTGCACCAGGCTTTGGTGGCAGCCCCGTAGTCTGCGACCTTGTAGTGGCACTGGACGGAGACGCTGCCCGACTCCTGGGCTGTGAGCTGCTGGGTCCCTGCAAAACAGCCGGGATGTGCCGAGAGCCCAGAGTGCTGAGAGCCCACCCCACAGCGGCTGCCCCTCCTGGAGCTGCAGCCACACAACCACACAGCTATATTCCAGTTATATTCACCTTCACACACCCACACAGCCACACATCCACACATCCACACATCCACACATCCACACATCCACACATCCACCTTCACCTTCACCTTCACATCCACACATCCACACATCCACCTTCACCTTCACATCCACCTTCATTCACCTTCACATCCACACATCCACACATCCCCACATCCACCTTCATTCACCTTCACCTTCACATCCACCTTCACCTTCACATCCACACATCCACCTTCATTCACCTTCACATCCACACATCCACACATCCACCTTCACCTTCACATCCACCTTCATTCACCTTCACCTTCACCTCCACACATCCACACATCCACCTTCACCTCCACATCTCCATCTCTACCTCCACACCTCCACCTTCAGCTCCACCTCCATGCATCCACACCTCCACACATCCACCTTCACCAGCACACATCTACCTTCACCTCCACCTTCGCACATCCATCTCCACACACCCACTTTCACCTCCACCTCCACACATTCACCATCACCACCACACATCCACCTTCACCTCCACTTTCACTTCCACACCTCCACCTCCACCTGCCCTAAGCAGAAGGGGACTGCACCCAGATTCCCCATGCAGAGGTGTCATAAATTTGGGGGTCCTGTCCCCCTCCTCTGCTTCCCTCAGGGTGGGACACTCAGCCCATAGGGTCTGGGAGGGTTGGTGGTTGTGGGGTCAGACCAGGAGCAGTGCCTGACATGGGGGAGGGTCCCAGCAGCACCCAGTGGGAACCAGTGCTGGAGCCACCTGGCCTTGTGGGAAGCAGTTGGGGGGAGCAGCCCCATCTGTGGGACCCACAGGAACCTCCCCTGAGCCTCTGCTGGCAGGGCCAGGCCCGAGCTTTGGCTCGAAGGTCCTATGGCTAAGTTGCCACTGTGTGTGCTGGAGGGATGGGCAGGGGCGGTCACCTGGGCTGAGACCTGGCCACACCCACAGCTGGCTGCCAAGGAGGGGCTCACTCCTGGGCGGTGAGGGGGCAGCACGAACCCACCCTGGGACACTGAGAACAGGGCAGGTACTCACTCTTGAACACAGAGAGCACGACCTCCGTTGTGCGCTCGGTGCCCAGTGCACACCAGTACACTCCAGAGTCCCAGATCTGCAGCTGCTTCACGGTGACAGTGGGAGTCCCTTGATCATTATATTGGATTAATGCTCTGTCTTGCAGGGATTTCTCTGCACTCCTTGAGGATGTTTTTCTCTGCACTGTGCAGACAGTCCCCCCTCTCTGGCACCAGGCTGGGCACTGCACTCTCAGCGTGTCCAACTCCCACAGGAGCAGCTCTGTGAAACACCAAAGGTGGGCACTGCCCAGTCAGTGCTGGGCACACGGGCACCTGGGACAGACCAGGAGGTCTGGGGCACTCCCTCAGGAGAGCCCCTCATCAGGGCAGGGGCAGGTGGGGCAGGACACAGGGAGCTGGGAGCCAGCAGGACCTGCCAGGTCTGAGGGGTTCCTTCACTCCCCGTGCGGGAGGGACAGCAGGGAGTGAGGCTGGGGGGATCAGGGGAAGCTGCTCAGCTGTGGGGAGAGCAGACCAGAGCAGGAGAAGGAATGAGGTTGCTTCCTGACAAGGCTTGGCTTTGGGTGGGGTACAGGTACTCACCCTTGAAAACATTCAGGGAGATCGTCTTCATCCGTTTGTATCTAGTGTAATAATAAGCACAGAAATACGTGCCTGAGTCCTCTGCCTTGAGGTCAGCCATGGTGATGGACACAGCCTTACTAGTGGTGTTAGCTCTCATTTGAATTCTCCCATCCCAAGTTTTTTTCTCGTATTCATAGTATGTCCGCAATAGTTCTTGACATTCTCCATTTTTCTGCAGGCACCAGTATTTTAACGCCTGGTCAGGAATCCCCAGGTTATAAGGACATTGGATGTACAGAGTGTCCCCTTCCCGTCGTCTGTGGGCTTCAGAGGTTTGGCCTTGGAGACCTGGAAGGATCAGATGTGGTGAGGGAGAGGAGAGCTGATCACAGAACCACAGAATCACCCACAGAGTCACAGAATCCCAGAATCCCAGAAGCACAGAATCAACAAGGTTGGAAAAGACCTTAGAGATCACCAAGTCCAGCCTATGTCCTAACACCACCGTGTCACCCAGACCATGGCACTCAGTGCCACATCCAGTCTGCTCTTAAACACCTCCCTGGGCAGCCCCTTCCAATGCCCAGTGACCCTTTCTGAAGAGGTGCAGGGCTGCCCACAGGGAGGGACATGGAAACTCTGCCTCCAACCTTCCCCTGGGGGCACAGGTGGCTGGAAGAACTCCAAAACCCAAAATCCCTTCCCCATGCTGAATTCACCTGCTTGTTAATAGGAAGGGCAGTTTTGAGATTTGAGCTGGGGCTGCAGCTGTGGTCTCACAGCCAAGCACAGGGTGCTCGAGGTGCTGGACCCTCAAACCATGGGTGACACTGTCCACAGCTGTCCCCTTGTCCCTGCTCCTCCCTGCAGGCAAACGGGGGCCGTGCCCTGCCCACACCATCGTGGGGCTGTGTTTGGGAGGGTGGGAAGGAGCAGAGGGGAGCAGCCTGGGCAGGGAAGCAGCTGCCACTGCCACATCCCAGCAGCTCCTGGCCACATCCCCAGCCATGCCAGTGGCTCCTGGACACATTCTCAGCCATGCCAGTGGCTCCTGGCCACATCCCCGGCCATGCCAGTGGCTCCTGGACACATTCTCAGCCATGCCAGGGGCTCCTGGCTATGGGGCTGTGCTGGCTGTGGGTTCATTGCCCACCCACCACGTGCTGGGAGCTTTGTGCTCCCTGCAGGGCTGTGAGGGACCCGTGGTGCCCTGGACACTGCCCTGAGCCAGCACGGCCACCAGAGGAGCTGAGCAGGGCCGGTGAGGTGGGACAGGCTCTGAGCTCCCAGCATGGATCATTCCAGCAGCCTGGAGCAGTCAGGGCTGTGTGCTGGGAGCTGGGGCTGCCCTTCCCTGCCAGCAGCAGCAGCTGCCCAGAGCACAGCCTGGCTGGTGCTGGAGGAGCTCCCCGGGCAGAAGGAAGTGGGGAAGGTTGTCCCTGTCCCTGTCCTGTCCCTGTCCTGTCCCTGTCCCCATCCCCAGGGACACACCGAGCCCTTTTCCTACCTGGGAAGCAGAGGGGCAGCAGGATCAGGGCTCTCAGCTCCATGGCCATGCCCCAGGGAAGGGGCATCACACGGTGCCCACCGTGTCCTGTGCCAGCGTGGGTGCCCTGTGACACCTCCTGCCTGGCAGTGACACAGCTGGGGGAAGTGCTGAGCTCTTGCCTCAAGCGGAAACGCCTCCCCGTGTTTTGTTTCAACATTTAATATGAAGATAATCTCACGGTGCTTTTGGGGAAGTGGCAGACCCCAGAACACTGTCAAAGGCTGCTGCTGCTCCCGCCTGGTTGGTGGCATTTGTTTTGTCACCCTCCTGTCCCCCTCAGCCTGTGGTGAGGTTGACCCACCTGGTTCTTCTTCCTCCCTGGCTGGTAGGACAGAAATGTTCCAGCTTTTGGTGTCACATAAACTTCTCTGTAGCCAATTCTGCACCCAGGTGCAATTCTGCAGGCCTGGGTTCAGCCAGGGCTGGGAATGGGGAATGGCTCCTGTCGCCTTTCCCCTCCTTCCCCTCAGCCCCCCTGAGGAACTCAGCCTCCTGCAATTCCACACAAAGCCAGCACTGCTGCCACAGGCACCTGTGGAATCCTCCAGGTCAGTCCTGGAGCTGCTGTGTGTGCATCCCACACCCAAAGTCCCCTCTGGTGACAGCTGGCCCAGCCCTGGGGGCACTCCCATGATCTTCCACATCTGGTTCTGTCCCAAACAGCTGCTTTGGCAAGCAGGAGCAGTGTCAGGTCTTATTTGCCTCGAGGCCAAGCTCCCCTGGCTTTTCTGTCCCTGGGGGCTGTAAGGATGCTGGGAAGGCCTGGGCTTCCCTCTGCTCACAGACACCTGCTGGGAAGGACGAGAATTTAACAGAGGAGCTGTGCAGATATCCAGAAGGTTCTGTAGGAACGAAAGCAAGTTTTGATATAGAAGAACAGAATTGCTGGGCCAGGGTAGGAGCTGTGGGTGGTCAGGATGGTCGGGAGTGACAGAGAGATCTCTAAAGCCAGGTGCTGGAATTTGTGGGTTATTGCAAAGGGCGTGGGTGAAAGGCCCTGCTGGGAGCTGCCAGCTCGGAGCAGGCTGTGAGAGCAGGAGGGCAAGAGGGAGAGGAGTAGAGAGAGAGCAGGGGGTAAGAGGTAAGAGGGGTAAAGGTGGTAAGAGGGCGAGGTTCCCATTACAATCAATCTTCTTCTGTGTTGAATATTCAAATTTTCACTCACCAATCCAAGATACAAATCCTATAACATTTACACACAGCCTATAAGAATCACTACATTACCAGAACGTGTTACACTTTAAACTTTAAAAACCACTCTTTGGACTCTCTTTACCAATCCAGCAGGGTCTTCTCTGCCCCTTGGCCCTGTCTGCAGGCACAGGGGGTTGTTCAATCAAGAGGAGATTCTTTTCAGCTGCCCACACTGTTGTTTTCTAGTTCAGTAGCTAAGGTTTGCCTTTCATTTCCATCTCGCTTATAGTTTCCATAGTCTCAAAATCTTTTGCCAGGCAATCATATTTATAAGGTTTTCCATTTTCATCTTCCCCAACAAGCCAGTCTGACTGGGTAAGGAGAAGACAAAGAGCAAAGCGAGTTGGAAGGGGCTTTTATGATTTAGAGCAAAGGATAAACCCACCTCAAACAAAAGATGTTTTTACCAAACAAAAAGATTTTCACAGGTAAACAAGAAAGCCAATGTTGCAAGTAGAGAAAAGATCTCAAAAATTTCCACTGCAGAACAAGTCCCAAAGTTTAACATGTGGCTACTAACTGCAATGATTGGCTAGTCACTGATATCATGTGGTGATTTTAGCAGTTGGGATGTGTTATATGTAAATGTAAAAGGTGTTGTGTGTGATGGTGATTGGTAGCCATGTGTTAAGATGCTCTGTAATGAAAAGCATAGAATGCATTGTAACCAGAACTAGAATGGGACTCCAGAATCGGACAGAATTCACCCAGCAGCTCCGGGCTCACCCCTGACCCCCATGAACAGCATTTCAGGAGCCGGCTGAAGCCTCTGTGTCTCCTCAGGCTCTTACAGACACCCTGTGCTCCCACACGGGGAATTGTGTCCCCAGCACCAGCAGGGCTTGGCTGAGCCCCTTCTGCCTCCCCTGCAGCTCCCCGTGTCCTTCCCTGCCCTTGAAGAGCGAGAGCAGAGCAGGAGCCGCCGTCCCCCGGGCCGGTACCTGCCCTGCTCCAGCAGAGCAGCACACCCAGACTCCACTGACACCCCTGCTGCAAAGAATTTCCAATTATATGAATAAGCAGCTTATTAACAATACATTCCGGCTAATCATTTTGTGCTCGATATCTCCGCATTGTCTCGTCCCCAAATCCCTCTCTCATCAGGCACTCGATGCGCGGTAACGAGAAGGGGGAACACGGAGAACAAACCCCAGGAGTCTGCAATTAGTTCAGTTCCTACAACTCCTCCAAACCCAGCCAGGAGCTGCTCCCTCAGCCCTTCCCGCGGTGTTTGCAGCGTCCATGGGAGGTCCTGGCCGAGGGGAGAGGCTCTGTGGGGTGAGGAGATGCCTGTCCACGGCGGAGCAGCAGGAATGGAATGGAGTTGGTCCTCTGACACAGGATCGATATGGTTTTAATTATAGAATCACGGCGAAGGAGATGAATGTTGTCTCAGGGGGTCACTTTATCCAGCCCAGTGACACAGCAGGACCAGCCCTGCCCGTGTCATTTCCAAAATCTCTCTAAGCTGTAAGCTGAGGTTGCAGCGTTCTCCTGTTCCAGCCCCATCTGAGGACTCCTCCCAGCTCTGCCTCTCCCTGTTCTTTGATGCCTTGGTCCAATTTGGAGCTTTTTGTACCTCGGAGATCAGATCATTCCCATTCCTCCCCTCAGCCCTTCCACTCCAGACCGACTCCAGACGGTTACATCCCAAATATTTTGATTTTTCCCTCCTCAGCTCAGCGTTCCTGACAGCTCGGATCATTTCCCCCCTTTCTCTGAACTCCGTTATCAATCCACCTCTTCCCTGACTGTCTCCTTGGATTCCTCAAAATTCTTTGGAGCTAAAGGACGGAGCCATTCCCTTTCTGCCGCTTCCAGCAAACCCTGGAATTTCAGATCACTGCACTCAATGATTTTGGTTGCTGTCACACCCACAAAAGCTGCTCCGGGTGAGACTTTTCTCACAGTATCGAGGTTTTGGGGTTTTTGGGGGGTTTTGGAGCAGCGGGGGCTGCAGTGGCGGGGCGAGGCCGCCAGGGGGCGGGGGTGGCTCAGGAATGAGCCCCGGTGCCACCGGCGAGTCCCCAACGAGCCCGGGGCCACCGGGAGCCACCAGTGCCACCCTGGCATAGCAATGACACCTCTCACAGCCACCAGTGCCACCACTGGCATAGCAATGACACCACTCAGAGCCACCAGTGCCACCCTGGCATAGCAATGACACCTCTCACAGCCACCAGTGCCACCCTGGCAATGCAGGGACACCTCTCGCAGCCACCAGTGCCACACCTGCCATAGTGGGGACACCTCTCAGAGCCCCCAGTGTCACCACTGGCATGATGGGGACACCTCTCAGAGCCCCCAGTGCCACCCTACCATGATGGGGACACCTCTCAGAGCCCCCAGTGTCACCACTGGCATGATGGGGACACCTCTCAGAGCCCCCAGTGCCACCCTACCATGATGGGGACACCTCCCACAGCCAACTGTGCCACCCCTGCCATGGTGGGGACACCTCCCACAGCCCCCAGTGTCACCCTGGCATAGCAGGGACACCTCTCAGAGCCACCAGTGCCACACCTGCCATGGTGGGGACACCTCCCACAGCCAACTGTGCCACACCTGCCATAGTGGGGACACCTCCCACAGCCACCAGTGTCACCCTTGCCATGGCAGGGACACCTCCCACAGCCCTGGTGGCTCCAAGCCCTGTCCAGCCTGGCCTGGGGACACCTCCAGGGTGGCCCTGGTGGCTGTGTGAGGGGCCCCTGCATTGCCAGGGTGGCACTGGTGGCTCTGAGAGGTGTCCCCACCACAGCAGAGGTGGCACTGGGGACTCTGGGAGGTGTCCCTGCTGTGCCAGGGTGGCCCTGGGGGCTGTGTGCGGTGTCCCTGCTGTGCCAGGGTGGCCCTGGGGGCTGTGTGAGGTGTCCCTGGCATGGCAGGGGTGGCACTGGGTGATTTTTCACATCCCTTCCAACCCAAACCATCCCACAATTCAAAGATTTTCTTGCCTCCCCTGCAGTGGGCTTTAAAAGCCGCTTCTTCCCAAAACTCTGAGCCCACTGCAGACCCAACCCCTGACTGCTGAGCTGGGGGGACCCTGCAGGCCTGGGGACATCAGCACGAGCTGCATCCCCAGCACAGGGACACAGAGCAGCCCCTCACCCTCAGCAAGGCTCTGCAGGGACGAGAGGCTGTGGGGAATCCACCCCAAAAAATCCCAATAAAGGGAATACTGGGATCAGGGAGAAAGGGAATACTGGGATCAGGGAGAAAGGGGAATACTGGGATCAGGAGAAAAGGGAATACTGGGATCAGGGAGAAAGGGGAATAATGGGATCAGGGAGAAAGGGGGAAACTCCCAGGATTTCCTGTCTCAGGAAAGAGCAGGAGCAGTGAGAGGGAAGCAGAGAGGGAGGCTGGCACAGGCAGGACCCCCAGTGGGGTGTGGAGGGTGTGGACACACTGGAGCCCCACTCAGAGAGCCGGACACGGGCTCAGGGCTCAGCTCTGGAGCAGAAGAGGCCCCACAGCAGCAGCTTAGTGAGGGGCCTGGTGTTTGGTCTGTTCCACATCAATGGGGCGTCCAGCTGTGGCTGAGGATGAAAGCAAGCGAGAGAGAGAGGATTAAAGGCTCCCAGGGTCTCCTCTAACCCGCCTAAGACTCGCCAAGAGGGCAGTGTGAGGCTTCAGGAAGGCTTCTTCATATGGAAAATATTATGGGAGGGAGGGAGAGAGGAGGGGGAAGGGAGCAGGGGGAGAGGGAGGCTCTGTCCAGAGCGTTCTGCGGGAGGAGTGACCACTAAAGGGCTTTTGGGGGCTTTTGGGGGCTTTTGGAGGCACAAGGGAAAGTGGCTGTGCTGGTGAGAAAGCAAACTCTGCTGGTGGGGCACAGGTGAGAGGAGTTTGGGAGGCCTGGAGATGGGAGAGCCAGGC